AGTCACTTTTTTGTGAGATGGGCTGCTATACAAATATGACTGATAAATAAATAAAAGTAAAAACAGCTATCCTTTCTCTGTTAGAGCAAGAAGTGGACAATAATCCTCAGGTGAAGAATAAGGTGTTGATGCCTGATTTGTTTAGCCAATTCCCAGGACCAATTTTATGTAGCCAAGTTAACCTGGAAGACAACCTTTCTGCAGACTTTGGTGTAATGAATCAGCCTTCATTGTGATTCACCATTTAATAGTTGGTTCAAACCATATTTTCAAGCTCTAAAGAGATGACAAATAATAGTCTACACAAGATATGCTAGGAGACAGAAGAATTAAAATAGTGAAGCCTTGAAAAAAACCTCTCCCTCCAACCCCAGCTGACCTGGGTGAGCCCTTTCTTCAAATCCAGTTTGGAAACATAAGACAATTTCCACAAATTTCTCTCATAATCAAATCAAATATCCCTGCCCTTTGTTCTTGGGACTTCTACTTTAGGAGGTGTAGCCAAGACTACTCATCTTTCACTGGGTGCAGAATTTGGAGTCTGAGAAGCTTGCTAGTGAGTGGATGAGTTGGGAATTATGGAAAGAGGGGCAGTCTGGGGAAGACAGCAACCTATTTGAATATGACAGCTCTGTCTTTCATGTTCTAGAAGGAAGTATGTCAACATTTCTCAGATGTTCTCTGAAAGATTTTCATAAGCTTGAATGAGTATTGGTAACATAGGAACTAAATTCATTCATCTCTGGATTTGTTAACATGACCTGTGGAACAGTCAATCCACATGTGTGACTGCCTGAACAGCAATTCTTCAATTTTTATGCATATTTTCTCTACCAAGGAGATAGACTGATATATTCTTTAGTGATTTTGTGGGAAGAAAACAGGCAACAATATTATAGTGGTGATGGGCAGAGGGAGATATCATGGGAGCCAATGGGTAAGTCACTTGCAAGGAAGGCAGCCTCTATGTCTGCAACTAACACTGGGTCTCAATCACTTGTGCTTTACTCCAGTGCCTGGTCGTTAGAATTCTAGTGGCCCTGGATTCCTGCTGTTGTTACTTAATGCCCAACAGTCTATAATAAAGCTCCCCTCATTTACAATTTAATTGTGGATTCAAGGGCTGGCCTTGTTTACATTGCCAACACCTGGCTGGGTGTGGAGAGAAGGGTTCCCCTCTCAGAGGTGCTTGGCTGGGTTTCCTGTGCCGCATCAGTCAGAATTTTAGGGCAGGGACAGGGATGTGGTTATGGTCATCCAAGAATCCCTGATGACGATTGGGAGCATTGCTCTCAGATAGCCAGAAGCAGGATCCTGTTTGTGAAGTTAGGCTGTAAGGATCAGAAGGGATTGTTGCTGATGTATCATCTCCCTGCTGCATAGCAACCTCCTGCCTGAGCTGCTTGAGGCTGTGGCTGGGTTGGTGGTAGAGTTCCCCAGGCTCGGTGCTGGGGGGTTCCAATCTTCCTTCTCTGGGTGCAGGCTCAGGATCAGCTCAGGATTGGCTCAGGAGTTCCAGGCCCCCATAAACTGACCCAAGTTATCTCTGATCTAACTCACAGTGGGGGTTACATGTTAGATCTGGTCTTTCTTTGGGACAGTTGCAACACGATCTGGAGTTGGGGGACATCACCACCAGTCCCTTGTCATGGACAGATCATTCCCTGTTGCCCTTGGAATTCTTTATGCCTACCCCCAATACAGGGAGAGGGGACCTATTTGATTGGTCTGTTCCAGGCACCTGATGGACCCCATTGGGTTTCAGAGGGATTTTGGGGTTCTTCTGGGGCTTTATTACATGGTCCAACTGAGGCTTTAGTTGCTGCTTGGAGAGGGTGGCAGAAGCCTTGGATTGAATTGTGTCTGTGCAGACGTTCTATGCAAGTGGATCTCAGATAGCCCTCTGGTTTCAGAGGAATTCAGGGTGATGAAACAGCATAACAGATGTCTAGAGCACAGCTAGACGAAGACAAAGAATCCAACTAAGCATGAGCAAGAGCCTTCTTACAGTGATAAAGACAATAAAATGTAATTATTTTCTTGTCTTTACATCCTCAGAGAGCAACTGATGGTTCTGATCAGGATGACCTGGTCCATTCTGGATAAGGAGGAACTGAAGGAACATCTGCAAGGCCACTCTGAGGTCTATATTAGGCATCTGTCAAATAAAGCTGCTTGGATCAACTTTTGTAATTGTGTAAGATGCAGTCTTGCCTCATTATCTGGGAAAAGTTTGAGCCTGTTGGTCCTGTGAAGTGAACAAGGCCCTCAAGGTTGTGAGTTCAGCCACATTTGTTTTAAATCCACATCCCTTCTCTGGTTGGTTAAGACCTCCTGGGAGGGGACATATGGTTGGATCTGTGCAATGGTGAATGCTTTGTTGAAGGAAGGAGGGAGAGGTTCCTCTGGCTCTGAAGGGGCCAGTAATCCACCCTCTCTTCAAGAGGCCATTGTTGGATCCAATAGATCTGGACAATTTTTGTCCAGTCTCCAACCTTCTCTTTTTAGGGAGGGATGTTGAGAAGGTAGCTCACATGAAGTTCCAGAGGGCCCTGGAGGAAATGGATTATCTTTTCAGAGGGGTTTCAGACTGAAACTATAGGAGTCTGGATGGGAAATAACAGTTTTCAGTTAAATCCTGGTAAGACCGAGTGGTTATAGCTCTTGAGGCCTCCTGCATCTGGAGATTTTTCATCTGTTCCATTCCAAATCTGAATGAGATTGCACTCTCCCAAGCAGAGTTGGTATGCAACTTGGGGTTCCTCTTGGGCTTGTAGCTCCTGTTCAAAGAGCAGGTGGCAGCCGTGGCCAAGAGGGCCTTTCCACAAATCTATCTTGTGTGCCAATTGCACCCATTTCTAGACTGCTTTTGGTCACTCATGCTTTAGTCAACTCTTATCTGGACTGCTACGATACACACCACATGGGCTGTCCTTGAAGAATATTTGGAAGCTTCTGGTCAGGGAAAAAATTATAAAGACATTAATTTTTGATGGTCAGGGAAAATGTTATAAAGACTTATATGGACTTTTTGTTGAAAAAAGAAAAGACTGAATTGATGATTTATTGATTTGGGGATTAAAATGTCAAAGAGGAAAGGGAAAGAATAAAATGGGAATTACTCAATAAAAAAAGGGCAGAAGTCATAATTCTATGTTTTCTTTCCTTTTTCACTTCACTTCATTCCTTTTCCTTTTTCTCCTATATTTTCTTTCTTCCTTCCTTTCTTAATTTTCTTTTAATTTTGTATACTTTTGTACACTTTTATTGTATTGAAAAATTCTAATAAAAAAAATATTTAGAAGCTTGTTGATGCAGAACGCAATGGTACTGACAGTTTCATGTGTAACACAATATACTCATGTGTCACCACTGTTTCACAAACTGCCCTGGCTTCCAATAGGCTTCCAGGTGCTATATGAGATGCTGATTATTACCTATAAATTCCTCCATGGCATAAGACCAGGTTATTTGCAGGACCACCAATCTCCAGTTGTCTCTGCCCATCCTACCAGGTCCAACAGAGTGAGCATGCTCTGGATCCCTTCTATAAGGCTATGTCATATAATGGGCTCCTGGATATATACCTTCTCTGTGACAGTGCCTGACCTATGGAATACCATTCCCCACAAGACACAGATGGTCTGGACTCTGTTGGCCTTCCATAAGGCCTTAAAGACCTGGCAGTTCCCCCAGCCTTGGGCCAGGATGTTAGATGAATCTGGTTTATATGATCTGCATGTTTTTGTTTTACTCAGACCTTGATATCATTGTAATGTGTTGATTGTTATCATTTTTTCCTTTGTGTTGTTGTTGATATGTTAAATTGTTGTTAGCCACTCAGAGTCACATGGCCATGTAAGTCAATTAAATTAAATTAAATTAAATTAAATTAAATTAAATTAAATTAAATTAATAAATTGAAGACCATTTTCTCTTCCTGTTTGATAGGCATTTGCCCTCTCCAGAAAGCAGGCAAGAGCAAATGGGCTAATGGTATTGTGGGGGCAGGGGAAATTGAGAAGACAATTTTAGGAGACAAGTCTCTTTGATCTTTATCCTCCATATACTTTTGGCAGACTAAAAGTGCCACCTTTGGCTCTATGCTGACAGACCATAAAAACAAATGGGCAGAATGAGAAGTTATCAGACATTAGAATGCACTAGAACTGCACCTCTAGTAGAGATGGAAGTTATCTTAGCTTCAGGTCAGCGGGGTAAAATTTTAATTTGGTGTTTCTGGAAGTACCGGTATATTTGCTTCAGTGATGAAACTATTGTAAGACTTATTTCCAGATATAGCAAATATGTCTAATTTTCCCAAAATCAGTTTCCAGCCTCTGGTATACCTTGAAGCCTAAATCAATTCTGCCATAAGAAGAGCTGCTGCAGTAATGGCTGCTTGCTTAGGAAAGAAATAGGGCTCCCTCTGGAGTGTATTCAGAGTTAATGCTGAGCAGGAACAGGAGGGCTGACATCTTGAGGAAGGAAGGCAATTGCTCCTCCTCTTTCTGAGCCATTGAAAGCTGGAGCTTTGTTGAGCCAGATCTTCTCAAGCTAGCAAGGCTCAGGGCCTCCAAAGGCCAGAGCAGTCATATTCATGCACAGCCACTAGGTGAATGCAAGATTCACAAAGGGAAAAGGAACTATCAGAGACCTCAGGCCAAAGAAAGCCACCAGAACATACTGTACAACAGGGACTAAACCTCTAAGTATTGTCAGATTTATACATTTAATTTTTAAAAACCTGGAAGAATGCCTTGTTAGTTATACTGTTGGGCAACAAACTTCATTTGAGATGGGAAATAATTGTGTCAAGGATTAATAAGCTCATGCTCAATAGGGAACAAAAAAGGTTGCTCAGGAATAAAGATGATAGCAAAAGGAGACTCTATGCTGCTCAACTTATTTGCATCCAATCCCATTATGACAGAGAAACACAGCACCCAATCTTTTCATGCAGAATCAAAGAAAAACAAGTATCAAGGCCATTAACTTACTGCCTGTTTTTGTTCTTCTTCCTATATAGAATTGTAATTGGAACATGAGAGAAAAAAGGAAAAAAGAAAGGACAATTGTTATCTTGAAAATGCAAACACAATTAAGTATTAGAGGGAACACCAATGTGACCTAACACATAAAGACACAAGGAATAAGAAGTAAAACACTGCCAGACCCTGGCTTTTTCTTGTCAGTGCTTCACACCTAAAGGATACATGAACTCATGAAAACATAAGAGCTTGCTGGATAAGACAAAAGGTCCATTTTAATCAAACATTTCGTTCCCACAATGATCAAACAAATGTTTATAAGGGAACTCCACAAAACAAATCATAAACACAATTGGTTTGTCCTATACCTTCTCCCTAGCAATTGTTATTCGGAGGCAATTTTGTTTGATATCAGAGATAGTATATAGTCATTGTGACTAGCTGCCATTGACTGCTTATCCTCTGCAGATTTACTAATCTTATGAAGCTATCCATGTTAAGACTCCTTCCCAATCCTACTTCTAATGGCCCTGAACCTTGACCTGAATGAATGATAAAGAGAAAATCTTGTTGGCTCAGTAGAATACCCCCAAATTCTGTGAAACTTTTTATGCTTATTAATTCATCGGACAAATGCAAAACACTGAAATACTACTTTTAACTCTCTTAATGAAACACTCTCACCCTCTCCATCTTCATATGGTGAAAAGAAGTATAAAAAGAAGTGCATTGTAACTCTCCATCTCCAAGTCCCTCAAGGAGGGTATCCATATTCCAACCCATCTGAAGACTATAATTTAAGCAGGTTATAGATACAATGGATCAGATTCAGATGTTAGGAACTAAAACGTTCAGGAGTATGGAAGACAAAACATGCTGACAGAACTTGGAGAAAAGGTTGAGCAGGGTCAGGACAGTAGTCTTCAAAGATTTGGTAGAAGAAGAAAATGACTTGCTGCCTGCTGTCCCAGAGGGCATGGCTGTATTTAAGGGACTTAAATTATAAGAGGAGAAATTTCAGATTTCAATAGTTTTTTCTGGCAGTAACAGCTGACCAACAGTGACCTATGTAGAGTACAGAAGGAAAGCTCTGTCCCTAAAGCTGCATGCAGCTCTCAACCTAATTTCAAAAGCCCTCTGCAAGCAATTAGTTCAGGTCTCTTGCAAAACAATCTATCCCTCCCCAAGCAGTCCCACTGGAAGGGGCAAGGAGAGAAAAGATTGTCCCACCCACGTCTGGCTCTGATCCCAGGCACCCCTAGCACGTAGCCCTCAACAGATTATGCCAAGAGACTGTAGCCTTGGAGACGAAAAAAATCTTCCTTGAATTAGAGAAATAGGGCAAGTTCTTCCTCATAAGCGGCCTTTTAACAGAGGCTGGGTAATCCTCTGTTGAGATGATCTAGCTTTAGAGTTCCTGCATCAAGTAGGGGCTGGACTTTTTGGATTGGAAAGAAGCAATTAAGAATGAGGGGTGGGGGAACACAGCAATATTCAGGTGCTCTTTGGGCATATTCAACAACTGCTAAAAGCTGGAACAGGCAGCTACAGTTGATTCTTATGAACCAAAGACAAAATCTAGCACAATAGCCATCTCAGATCCGTGCTATTCCTATATGCTTAAACAATCAAACTAGTTCATCTCAGAACACTGACCAACACTTTCAGGGTGAGAGCACATGTTTTGTATGCAGCAAATCCCAGATCCAATCCCTTGCAAACATCAGATAAAAAGAGGAGTTCAGTTTTAAAACCATGCTCAAAGGACTGAAATAAAAGTTCACAACACAAATTGCCAATTAGCACTGTAGTTACACTGGCCATAGGATAAGTACAGACATGATGTACCTTGAGCAGCTTCATGAGTCCTTCCAGCTGTACCATCAGTTCCCTTCGGCTTTCCTGAAGAGCAGACATTCGTTGTTCCAATTCATCTTTCCTCTGCCTATTCAAGATTAATAAAGGGATAATTTCATTAACTTTTTATCTTGCTCTTTCTATTCAGTTATCACCAGCAGATGCTTCTGTAATCAATATTCTAAATTAATTTGGGAGGGGTTGGTTAGATACCTCAATAGCCTTAATTCTGCCAGCAAAGTTGGATTCTGTTGGGCTTTTTCAGGTGTTGGCTGGGAGGCCTGTTCATGTTCCAGTCTGAGGCGCTGAATTTCTTGCAGAATTTCTCTATGAAAATAAATGTGAAATTAGTTAAACATGATCCCATTTTTCCCCCCAAATGCCCTGGATGTGCTTTCTGGAGTTTGAAAAGGCAGCTTAGATACCCCAAAGATGAACTGAGTCCCAAACTCCTCCTATACACTAACAGAGTCTGAACTGGCAGTGGCTGACAAAGAAAATGCTCTTGGAATCATGATTGACAGCTTAATGAAAATGTCAACCCAATGTGCAGCTGCTATAAAAAAGACAAATTCCATGCTTGAAACCATTAGGAAGGGGACTGGAAGCAGAAATGTCTATATAATAATGCCCTTATAGAAATCCATGGGCTGCGATCACATTTGGAGTAATGTGCTCAATTCTGTTCACTGCACCTTACAAGGAGTACTATAGCGCTATAAAATGTGCAAAATAGGGCAAGCAAATGATGAGAGGAATGGCTCCCTATAGGGGAAGATTACAACACCTGGGGCTCTTTAACTTGGAAGGGAGAATAAGAGGATATATGATAGAGATATATACAATCTTGCATGGCTTAGATAACAGGGAAAGAGTTTTTCTTCTTCTGTCATAGTGTTAGAACTCAAGGTCATGCGCTGAAACTAAATACAGGACCAAGAGAAGGTAATACTTTCTCACACAGTGCACAATTAAATTGCAAAATCTGCTGCCAGCAGTTGGGGGTAATAACCACCGATCTGAATACTTTTAAAAGGGAACTGAATATGTTCATGGGGATCAGGTTATCAGTAACCATTAATATTGATGACTATTGAGGCAGCAGGCTTTATAAACTGGTTGTTGTGAAGCTACAGTGGAAGAGGGCTTTTGCTTTCAGTCCAGGGTTTGAGCTTCCCAAGTACATCCAGTAGGCCATTGTGTAACACAGAATATTGGACTACATGGGCTGACAGGCTGATTCAGCAGGGCTCTTTTTATGCTATTACAGACATATGCATCACCCTTATTACTACAAGAACTCAAACCTCCCAGCAACAACTCACATTTATCTAAGAAAGCTTAAGGGAAAATGATCACTCTTTATAGCACAGACATTCCATTAAGCATCAGGCTCTAACTCTATAGGAATATTATTTCTTAATACAAGAAAATGAGAAGGAACATGAGATGTGTAAGTGTCACAAGCCTGTGGGGTCTCATTCTCTAAATACTTGCTCTTTTGTAAAACTATTTATGGTTCCAAGGTTGCATTAAAAAAATGGCGAACTGATGGCAGGAAGCTGCACTTACTGTTTTAGGGAGGTAAGCAGCAGCGCACAGTGAGTAGGGAGGTGAGAAAAACAGGTGGGGCAATGATGCAAAATGGGAATGATACCATCAAACAAATGGCATGACCTAGTTTTTTCCCCCCTAGCTTTAGAGGCATATTTTGCTATCATTTTAATATGCTTTGTATATTCTAAGGCTTACATATTTGTTTTATTGTGTTTTCTGTCTAAAAATCAAACCGCCCAGAGTTGTGCTCTAAGATGGGTGGCCAAACAAATCTTTTAAAGAAATAAATAAAAATGATCTGAAATCATATAATCAAACTGATGAATTATGCACATGGCTTATCAGGAAACAGGAGAAACTTGTCTCACTGACTACAATCAGCATTAGTATCCAGCAAACTCAGTTTGCGGCTTGGGGTCCAGAAAAAAACCACCAAGCCAGCTCTATCTTCCCAAAATATAGGCAATTATGGAGGGAGGAAAATCAAGGATTGTAGCAGTAAGTGAGCAACTCAGCCAATTAGGTAGGGTGGAGAAAGATAGCTTGTTTAGGAGCCCATAAAAGCTCAGCTGTCATTCTCCCCCCTCCCCTCCCATATCTTACCTGTTCTTGTTTTCCAGCTCTGCTATCAGTTGCCTTTGCTGTTTGTTGGCATCAAAATTGAACCCCAGATCTATTGGTGGCCGTGTCTGGTGAAAAAGAGGCAACATTTAAATATGTTAACCTAACTCTGCCTAGAGTGCACAGACACACACAGAATTTACACTTCCATGGAAAATTCATGATAAAGTTAATAAACGAATTCAGAAGAAGTTGCTTGGTTCCATGCTCACATTGGTTGAGCGAGCAGATCCTCAACATCCTGCCAAGCGTGGGAGGAAGGAACATACAAAGAAAGAGAGAAACTCGCTGAAGCACCTTGTTAGAAGAAATGGATACGAACATGGAGGGGGTGGCCTTTAACAATTTATCACTGGTAAGACAATCAATCAGTGCTGCTGGACCCTGAAATCTTCTCCTATTGAGAACACCTTGTAATCACAGATTCAATAAAACTTCAAAGCACCCTTCAGTTGTTTTGTTTTCACTGTTCTAAATTGGGATTAAGAAGTTTTTCCTACAGTGCCTGAGTCTAAGGCAACATCAATCTCAATTAGAAGAGGGAGATGCTTCTTTTCTAGGAAAAAAAATGGACCATTCACAGTCAGTTTCATGGTGCAAGCAGTAGGGAGATAGGTTTAAGAGACCCAAACCCAGAAACTGAAAAAGCACTGCAAGCCTTTAGGCATGGAATGCTCACTCTTGGATGGCCCAAGCTGAGAAAGGGAATTCTGCTTAGACAAAAGGAAAGAACTACAGGTAGTCCTCATTTGGTGACTACAATAGATTCTGATGACTCTGTCATTAAGTGAAATGGTCACTAAGTGAACACATGACAGAGAAAGAGAGAGATGCTGGAAGATCACTGGTTGCTGTGGTCTCATTCAGATAAAAGTCTCTTGTACAGTGTCCTGTGCCTGACCAATTTGTTTGTTTTTTTGCCCCCTGGCAGGGCGGAGAGATTGCTTAAACAAGCTATCTCTTCTTGGGCTGCTTTACTGTCCAGCCCAGTGTTTCCCTAAAAAGTGCTAACTGCAAGTTAACAAACTCAGCTATGTGACCTTAATTAGTTGATTGGAATCCCCCAGCCCACTTTCAGCTGCTGCCTGAAATTGACTAGACTTTAATCAGTTTTGCACTGAAGGTTTTTGTCATAAATGTGCGCATTGGTAGCAAAATGATTTTTTTATTACTGTTTATTACTATCGTTTTTGCAAACAGTAGCTATCCAAGGCAGTTGCTAAATGAGGACTACCTGTATTGGGTAGCTCCCCAAAAGTCTGTATAGGAAAAGGGGCTACATCAGGGAGGCAAATTGTGCCCCATACAGATAAAAAAGAAACAGAAATTAAAGATTCTTCCAATCCACTACGTACTTTATCTTCTTTTGAAAAAGTTATTTTTTTCTTGGCTGTAATTTGCAGAATCTCTAGAGAAAACCCTTGGGTATACTGTGATCAAATGTTCCAGCACAGCTTTCAACCATATAAATCCCAACTCCATAAAGAGAGAACAGGGCTGTATCTGATGCAACTTGATGATTTTAACCAGAAGCACTCCCAGCATTAAACGTTCTGCCTGGTACACTGTAAAAACTTCAAAATGGACAGTATTCTACTATAAGTCCCAACATCTAGCCAGCCAACTATGGCCAAGTACTAGAAAATATGATTGTTGCTCCTCCTCATGTAGCAAAATGCTTTTTTTTAAAAACTGCATTCTCCTCCAGATCACCTCAAGCAATAGCTATTGTCTTCAAGCTGAATCAACTCTTAGCAAGATTTAAATTTGCCACAGGATATATTATGCAGAGTGACTAGCTCAGGGAAATGATTAAAAAAAGCCCCTTGTTGACTGCTGAAGTCCAAAGTTTAAATAGTATCCATGCTTGAGATGTGTGCCAGTCACCCAAAACATTATTTTCTTGATTTGACTATGGTAGCCTTTCCCAAACTTGGTACTTTCCAGATATGTGGAATTAAGTCCCAGAATTCTCCTAGTAGCTATGGGACCTGGGGAGTTTAGTTCACATCTGAAACACATCTTGTTTGAAACTGAGTATAATATGTTGCCTGACTAGAATCAAGAATTCATAATCTGGCTCAGGTATCTGGAAGCAAGTTATTTCAAGGTGGTGCTGTAAAGTAGCAAAGACCACATACTTCCTGACTTATGAGGATAGCTCTTAGCCTGAAAAACTGCCAGCCTGCCAGTCTCTGTAAGTTAACATTGTCACAGAGTATCCAGAACAGAAAGAGCAACTCTTTGGACTAGCTGGGAGCAACTGACTTGCCTCACCTGTGCCCCATATTTGATCTACCATCTGATTACATTTCTGCTCCTAGCTTGGGGTATTATATGCCAGATTCAGTGTTAGGAATAAATGGAATCCTCATGTGGTGAGCCAAGCCACTTCAGCATAAAGCCACTGGATAGAATCCTAGAGTTAGAAGAGATCATACAGAACATCAAATCTACCTCCCTCCTCAGTGGAAGACAATCTAACAGACATTTCCCTATTTTGCAGAAACATCAAACTGATGCCTTATATTCACTTTGTAATTCCCTATAGTTCCAAGACCCTTTTCACATTCTATTGCCAAAGGAGGCGTCCCCCACGTATATTGGTGCATTTGATTTATTTTCCCAATCAACGGACTTTGCATTTGACTCTGCTACTCATTCATTACTTTTCAACCCATTTCTCAAGACTAATCAGAAATTTGCTCTGTCTTTCAGAGTATTAGATACTTTGCCCAATTTTATATCTTCTGCATAAGTCTGATGTAATCTTCCTCATTGTTCAATATACTAATAAAGCTACTAAAAGGTACTAGGTCCAGGAGAGATCTCTATGGCATCCCTTTTGATATCTTCGTCTAAATGGACGAGAAGCCATTCAGGAACATTTTGAGTAGTTTTCAAGCCAGCTGTAGATCCACCTGGCAGATATGCCAGGCTGCCCATCCTTAAGTAGCTAGCTAATTGTAATGTCATGGGTTAATTGTCAACTTTTTGCTGAACGTTATGTCCACATCATTCCCAAAGTTTACTAATTACCAATTAAATATTTACTAATAACCAATTAAAATGGGGGTAATTATAAATTCTGCTGGACTAATTTTAAGAAATCCAGGTGGACCTCTACAATAACTGCATTCTTTTCAAAATATTCTGAAATTCATTGATTTTATGGGCTGCTTTAGAATATTCTCAGGTACTAAGGTTAGTCTAACTGGCCTATAGCTCTCCAAATCCTCCCGTTTTTTCTTGTGGAAGCAGGAACATTTAACTTCCTCTAATTGCCTGGTATTTCACCTACTTTTCTATATATCTGCAGGAGCTGGCTCTCCTTTCAATCATGTGCTAGCAAAACGTGAGACAAATCACTAATATTGTGGTTTGTCCCTTTGTCTGAAACTGAGGAAAGAAGTCATCCTCCCCATCTTTCCTGGGTTTAATTACAGTCTGGAAAATATGCTGAGGGGAAAAGAACAGAAAAAGAGATGCTGCAAGGAGAAATTCAGTCCAGGATTTGGCACTTAATTATCAAGAAGAATGAATGTCATTTTTAAAAAGCATTTTTAAATGCTCCAATCATGCCCAATTTCATTTCTGCATAAAGGTAATAATTCAGAGGAATTCTAGAATGATGGCTTCTAACAGTCATTTTGCTGAAAACTGTATATAGAACTGCCACATATTTCCCATACTTCTGGAAATTGCATTCATGTAGGTAACACCATTCTTTTGCCAAAATAAGCTTCAAGAGCAATTATACATCACACTCACTATTTAACATACACAACACATAAGTGGAATAGAAAAAGGGAAGTGCAAGCCCAAGCAGTAGTTCTCAAAGTTACAATCAGCTTAGATGAAAACTATTCATATACATGATAGATTGGCTACTGGCTAATGCCAAGGATTAGTTGATCACTCAACAAAAGTGATGGTTCTCTGCAACCTGAGGGAATGTCTGCCACTCAAGCCATAGTAGTTACTTACTGTGACTCCCTCTAGCTGAAGCTTTGGAATATTAATTATGAGCACACTGATCACACATGTCCATGTGTTTTCGTGGAAACACCTGTCCTTCTCTCATATCTTAAAACAGAGATATGGGACATGGCATTTTCTGTTTACATCTCTGGTTTACACAGGCAGCTGTTGCAATCAGCACAGCAAGAACTGAGGAGCTGATAAAAATAGAAAGCATCCATCTTATTGACTCACTGAAGGGCACAGATCCTCAAGGGTTCAGAAGTGGCACTCATGTTCAAGAGCATACAGAGTCACATGCAAACACCTCCCATCTCCTCATCTCAGAGCACACATTGCTCAGTGCTACTCAAGGTAACTGAAAACATAAATCAGTTGGAAAATGACTTTTGGATGGTACCATTTCTAAACTCCTTGTCAATAAGAGAATGTTACAGTAAACAGTTCAGGGCTCTGTGAAATACTATGATTTAAAAAAATAGTACCATTCCGTTTAAATAACTTTTCTATTCTTTAAAATCATGTGGCCTTTTCCCTTTTTGAAATTGTGTGTGTATACTTTACCCATGGAGAGTTCTGCATGCCCAATATCTAGCACTGAGTTGTGATGAGGACACAAAAAAGATGCTCTTCAGGATCTGATGGAACAATGGCAGTACCATGCTAGAAAGCTATGCTAGATACAGAGTTGCATGATGTCTCAGTCTGAACTGGTTTCCTCCTGACCAACAGCATATCACAGCACTGTTAGTGGAGTTCCTCTTTGGGATCTATCCTATGTGTTTGCTCTGTAATACATTACCACGAAGAGACTGCAGGGATACTACTGCATGGATGCTACTTCTTATATAGATCAACCCATGTAACACATATTGTACACTATTAGCATGAGCCACTGCCTTGCTCATGGTACCCTACACAAGAAAGGTGATTTCAGAATTTCCTAGTTTGGTGCTCTTCCCCTAATTTACTTTTCTTTTCTAAGGATTTTGGGACTTAAGTAGCCATCTCTTGTAGAACTGGAAATTTGCGCCTTGATTATCAAAGAAAAGAAGATAAAAGCTCATAACCAAGAAACAACTTTAACTGCTCACCACATTTCCAGCTTCAGCAGCTAACCTGGCAGCATACCGAGCAATTAACCGGTGCTCTTCATCCAGTCTGCTAGGACTGTCCAGGACACTGCTAAAAGAGAGAGCGCTGACATTTACCAACTGGTATTTGAAATTCCAGAATATCAAATCACACCAGGAAGATAAGTGGTTGTCCAACATGACACAGAACTAAAGCAGCGTAACTTGGGAATGCATTCTCAAGCTTCACTCATGCTCTCCTCCAATCATCCTATCAAATCATTATCATTTCTGCATAATTCAGGGGAATTCTAGAATGATGGCCTCTAACAGTCATTTTGCTGAAAACTCTGTGTAGAACTGCCACATATTTTCCAGACTTCTGGGGAGTATTGCATTCATGTAGGCAAGCTCACAACAATGCTTGTCATTTAATACACAAGTATTTCTAATATTAATTTTTTAAATTTAAATATGATTAAAAATATGGGTAAAAGATGTTTTAGTACAAAATAGTACAAAAATTAACTCTGTGCTGACTTTGTGTCATAGTGTAGAGATCTGGTGATTGGCTCATATGTTCAAAACATGAATGCACATATCAAAACCACATTTCTTCAGAAAGATAGAATAATAATAGTTATACAAATTTCATTTATAAAGTTTCTGCTATGAACCCATTATTTCCCCTAAAAAAGTTTTTTAGCTCTTAAAAGGGATAGAGGAAATATGGGGGGGAAAATGAACAAGATATGGTGACAAAATCAAAAAAAGACAAAATGAGAAAAAGAACATCACATCCAAAGTGAAACTCTAGTATTTTAACAGGCAGAAGCATCTCGTACTTTGTTTTTCAAGGACAAATGCAGTTAAACATTGTCAAATACTTTGATATCCCAAAGTCTGGTCAATGGGAATGGGACTTTTATGGCTGGAGAACTTTCAAAACAACTAGTGCTTCCAATGAAGTTTTCATTGTGCAATTCTTCATTGTATCCTCCAAGCCATTAATGCAGGAAAGATGGAATAGCTGCAGGTTGCCACTGGATTGGTAGCAACAGGGCAGCTATTTATCACACCAGGTGGCAAATCAAGAAACTTCCAGCATTCTTCTCCCTCAGATGGGTCCCAAAACAAGACAGTCCTTTTCTCTGTTGAAAGTTTCTTAATGGTTGCCAAGACTGATGAGAAAACACTAACTTTTAAGAGGAATTAAACCACAAATCTGATAAAAAGCTGTAATATGAACAGGCTGTACTGGGACAAACCTGAAGCACATAACAAGTGTTATGTTGATAGACAGAGTTGCTTATTACCAGAACAATGCCATAAAAAAAGTTTTGCCATTAAAATGAAAAACTTAATGTTCCAGTGAGCTAAAAGTAAACCCAGATTCTTTTTAGCTGAAGCCACAACATGCTATTCATTTGATTAATGTTATTTTATACTATTTTTTTTTCTTTTGAAGGAGTCCTCTTTATGGTGCTTCCACATTTTATGGCAGATACAAGCAACGTCTGGAGGCTGTGGGCACATTTGAAATATTGGGGTGTGAAGGAGTGTGACTTTCCTAAAATGGAAAGTATCAAGAAAGTAACCAGTTACAAAGCACTCATTCACCAAAAGGCAAACTACTAGGGTTGCCTTCCACAATCCCTTCTATTACCCCATGACGTTCCCTGCTTCTAAGAATGACTATGCAGGCCACACATACTTATAAATAAAGATGTCAGAAAGTGGCACATTGATTTCCAACATGTCAGCTGCCTATTCTTTAAGTTTTTTTCTAATGAACTCTTACAAACAACAACAAAACCCATCTTGGAAGGAAGATTGGACACCAGTTTGCAAATTCCTGCTTTATAGGCTAAAATAGTATCCCTTCTAGAAATGATCCCATGCAGAGGATCAAAAATATGCTGGGAGATATCACATTGCCTATTTTTGGCAAGGACTTACTCTGGCTTTGTCTGTGGGAAGGAATTCTTTTCCTTTACACTATTCTTTTTTAAAAAGCTGCTTGGCAGCACAAGGCAACCCAACTCTCCATTTTTCACATCAAAGCATCAGGCATCTAGAAGGAATGGGCAAAATCAATGTGGCACAGTATAGATGTGCACCCTTCTCGTATACCACTGGTATATTCATCCCAGGGCTACCTTTAAAGAAATCAAGAATAATTTCTGAAACTCAGGAATTCGGAAAAGACCTTGGTATACTTCTAGACACATGGCTGCAAGAGCTATCCATCAGAACATATTCTCATGAATGACTCAACCTGAACCATAGAAATCTTGATTCTCTTTGTAGCAGTAGTTCATCATTTGGAGCCTAGAGGAAAACAGGCTTTATTATACTAAACATGCTTCCCCAGGTTTAGAGGTTTATAAGAAATTAAAATACTCCACAGTTGTTACATTTCATGCCCAACACCATTTATTTGCTTGAGTCATACCAAGAAGCCCATTTAGGACTGGTCTTTCTGATCTTTGTTCCAAATTTCCATTGTTGTTATAAAACAGAATCTCTTTTAAAGCAATCTTATTTGAAGTCTAGTAAGTATGTATTCACAAACATCTCATCTTTAAATTAGCTCTTTTTTCTTCATGACATTCAGTCCTAAACCTTCCTTTATTAAAAGTTTTTTTTAAATTAGTAATCCATTTTCAAACAAACATACATAAAATAAAAATGAACTATTGGTCACAGTCCTTCCTAACACTTGCTTTAGTGGATGGGTCGGTCCAACCCGGCTGCCTACATCAGGCATTCAACAAAGTTTCAAAAGGGAAAAGAATAATTGCCCGTGTACCCCGCACCCCTTCCACACAATCTGCTTGCCTAGCACTAACCGTGTACTGCTTTGTAGCTGGCTCACATAGGCTGCTATCAGCACATGCTCATCACTGAGCCGATCGGAGGGGGCGAGGCTGTGCTGCAACCTAGGGATATTGAAAGCAAAGGAAGCAAAACTCAACAGAAATGAAGATGAGGCAATGGAATAATGTGAATTATTTGGGGAATATAACATGATTAAAAATAATAGTTAACATACGTAAATGTTAGAAGAAGGCGGGGGAGGGGGGACTTAAATAGGCAGGAGACTCCTGTAAAAAGTAAGGGATGAACAAGACATGAAGAATAAAGTAGCCTTTCACCATATTCCTTTCCTCCCCATCTCTAAAACTGCACTATTAGTCTGGAACCTGCATTTCTGACAGGCAAATAGCAGCATAATTTCTAGAAAACAGAATACAATGCGGTTCTAATTCGTGGAAGAGCAAGGATGTGATTATTTGGCAACTCCAGTAGTTAGACTACTGCAATGCATTCTACATGGGGCTACCCATGAAGAGTATCCGGAAACTTCAGCTGGTGCAAAATGCAGCAGCACGAGCAGTTGTGTGTGTTTCTAGTAGAACACACATTACACCTCTGCTTCGCGAGCTGCACTGGTTACCAGTTTCTGGGTCCAATTCAAGGTGCTGGTGTTGACCTTTAAAGCCCTTCATGGCATGGGGCCAGGCTATTTGAGGGACCGCCTCTCCCCGATTTCATCTACCTATCCTACCAGATCCAGCAGAGAGGGCATATTATGGGTTCCATTGCCTAGGGAGCTACATTTGGCAAGCCCTAGGTAGCGGGCCTTTTCTGCTATGGTGCCTGCGCTGTGGAATTTCCTCCACCCTAAGGTAAGGCTGGCCTTGTTATTGTTGAGCTTCCAGAGGTCCCTTAAGATTTGGTTATGCCAACAGGTCTGGGGACTGCAGGGGACAGGAGAATTAGTGAGATGGCTCCCTTATTTTTAACATCCTTCTAATTCTCTGTTCTATTTTGATTTTTATATTTTTAATGTATTTATTGACTGTTTTTAACTTTGTTGTATGCTGCCCAGAGTCACCTGTGGTGAGATGAAATTGGTTTAATCATCATCATCATCATCATCATCATCATCATCATCATCATCATCATC